CATCCCACTCTTACCCTGCCTCCTGTCCTCCACATAGTCCTGTGGCCCAAGCTTTTTAAGCTGGTGAAGTAGACAGTGGTGATCCCAAGAAGCAGAGTGAGCAAGTGGGGTAATGAGACAAAGAAGAGAGGAAAGAGAATAAAATGCACAGATGTGACTGGATTTTCCAGTCTGTCTCTGGGTTTTCACCCAGAGAATTTAACTCTGCTAGAGTCTCTCAGACTGAAATATGATGTGGAACTGGGAATTGGACTACTCCCACAGAGGGACCAGAAAGCTGGAGTATTTACTCCTAACTCTGGACCCTCATTGGCTGATGGTTGCTCTGGGGGTGTTAACTCTACAGCCCTTTGGGCCTGCCCCACACTTACTCCCACAGCTGAAAATGCCCTCAGGAGGGACACAGGAAGCAGGGGCCTGGTCAGGAAATGTCTGTAGGTGTCCTCCTGGCAGGCCTGGGGGTGTGGGTAGGGCTGACAGCGTCTACGACACTCAGTGAAAGTAACCTGTTATTAAAATTATTGTTGTTGGCCTGGGAGGGTGGCTTACACCTGTAATCCCAGCACTTTGGGAGGCTGAGGCGGGTGGATCACAAGATCAAGAGATCAAGATGATCCTGGTCAACATGGTGACACCCCGTCTCTACTAAAATTACAAAAAATTAGCTGAGCACGGTGGTGCGTGCCTGTAATCCCAGCTGCTCGGGAGGCTGAGGCAGGAGAATTGCCTGAATCCAGGAGGCGGAGATGGCGATGAGCCCAGATCGCGCCATTGCACTCCAGCCTGTGTAACAAGAGCGAAACTCCGTCTCAAAAAAAAAAAAAAAAAAAATACAAAAAATTAGCTGGGCATGGTGGCGCGTGCCTGTAATCCCAGCTACTCAGGAGGCTGAGGCAGAAGAATTGCCTGAACCCAGGAGGCAGAGGTTGCGGTGAGCCGAGATTCTGCCATTGCACTCCAGCCTGGGTAACAAGAGGAAAACTCCGTCTCAAAAAAAAAAAAAAAATTATTGTTGTTGGCCTGGGAGGGTGGCTTATGCCTGTAATCCCAGCACTTTGGGAGGCCAAGGCAGGTGGATCACCTGAGGTCAGGGGTTCAAGACCAACCTGGCCAACCCCGTCTCTACTAAAAATACAAAAATTAGCCTGGTGTGGTGGCACATGCCTGTAATTCCAGCTACTGAGGAGACTGAAGCAGGAGAATCACTTGAACCCAGGAGGTGGAGGTTGCAGTAAGTCGAGATCACGCCATTGCACTCCAACCTGGGTGACAAGAGGGAAACTCTATTTCATATATATATATATATATTTTAATTTTATTTATATATATTTTATTATATATATATATATATATACATACATACATACACACACACACATATATATAATTAAAATTATTGTTATTAGCTACCATGTGGTGGTGCAAACTGACAGCGGGGGATGCAGAAGGGATCACTTGAACCCAGGCTGCAGTGAGCCAAGATCATGCCACTGCACTCAAGGCTGGGTGACAGAGTAAGAAGAACCTGTCTCGGCCAGGTATGGTGGCTCACGCCTATAATCCCAGCACTTTGGGAGGCCGAGGTGAGCCTTGGCTGAGGTCAGAAGTTTGAGACCAGTCTGACTAACATGGAGAAAGCCTGTCTCTACTAAAAATGCAAAATTAGCAAGGCATGGTGGCACATGCCTATAATCGCAGCTATACTCTGGAGGCTGAGGCACTGAGGCAGGAGAATCACTTGAACTCAAGAAGCAGAGGATGCAGTGAGCTGAGATCACACCATTGCACTGCACTCCAGCCTTGGAGAGAAAGCGAGACTGATTCAAACAAACAAAAAACCCGTCTCAATGTATATATTTTAATGTTAATTTTTTTTAACTTTTTTTTTTTTTTAAGAGATGGGGTCTCACTCTGTTGCCCAGGCTGGTTTCAAACTTCTGAGCTCAAGCAGTCCTCCCACTGTAGCCTCCCAAATTGCTAATATTACATGCATGAGCCACCATCCCTGGCCATATCCGTCTCAATTAAAAAAATAAAAATAGGGCAGAGCGTTGCTGGGAGCCTCTGATCCCTGACAGTTTTGCGGAACACTGATATCTGTGGACTCCAAAATGGACTTCATTTAAAGAAACCCACGGACCATTAATGAACAAAAACATGAGTCAATATGTATTGCGGCATTCAAACCCTATCACTGTGGGAGAGCATCAAGTACTACATTTTTGAAGACCATGGCCTATCATCATTATGCATTCAAGATTTGAGTTTGAATAACCTCATCAAGACTTAGATCTTCTTCAAAAGCTTCAAGTCGCATCTGCATTAAAGCTCTTCATTGAACCTTCTCACAAAAGCACAAGTTTAAAGGACTAAAATCCATTAATACATTCCATTTTATATTCCTTCCTCTCACTTCAATTTCCTTGGTCTCTAGGGTCTTTCGTATTGCTTATGTTCCTTTAGACTAGAGCCAATGAGACAGTGCTTTCCAAAAAAATATATGTTCTGTGGCCATAAGTTTTCATTGGTAGAGAGGCATAAATTTAGCATGATGAATTTAGAATTAGGTCTTTTATGGTATCCTATAAAAAGTTGAATTAACAGGCTGGGCGTGATGGCTCATGCCTGTAGTCCAGCACTGTGGGACACTGAGGAAGGCAAATCACCTGAGGTCAAGTGTTCGAGAGCAGCCTAGCCAACATGGAGAAACACTGTCTCTACTAAAAATACAAAAATAGCCGGGGGTGGTGGTGGGCGCCTGTAAGCTTAGCTACTTGGGAGGCTGAGGCAGAAGAATCACCTGAACTTGGGAGGTGGAGGTTACAGTGAGCTGAGATTGTGCCACTGACTATAGCCTGGGCAACAGAGCAAGACTCTGTCTCAAAAAAAAAAAAAGTTGAATTAACAATAAGAAAATGTGGATGAAGCGGTAAAAATATTTTGGGTTATATTATACTCTCAGAAACTATGTGGTTTAGAGAAAACGGCCCCCAACCTAAAAGTTGATGGTTCTTATTCTGTCTGCCTTGTACTAGGTACATGGTAACGGCTCTGAACCTGAAATGCATTATCTATTAAGTGAATCTGATATTTTCCCCGCCTACCTCACAGGGTTGTTGTGAGGATCAAATGAAATAATGTACATAAAAAGACAAATATAAAATATATAACACAGAAAAAAATAAAAATAAATTGTTATTTAAGACCAGCCTGGGCAACAAAATGAGACCCAGTTTCTACAAACAATAAAAAACAACAGGCATGGTGGCCTGCACCTATAGTCCCAGCTACTTGGGAGGCTGAGGTGGGAGGATCACTTGAGCCCATAAGGTCAAGTGCACCCACTGCCCTCTAGCCTGGGTGACACAAGACCCTGTCTCAAATAAAATTACTGTGGCTGCTAAACAAGAGAGGAGGAAGCAGGAACTATAACCAGCCTAAGGCTCTCCTCTGGACCCTGCTGCCACCTCTTCCTAACTCCCATTCTGGGGTCTATCCATCTGCCTTACACCCACCAGCTCATGGCATCATCTTTCTCTATATCCCTTTCCCAGTGGCTTCCGCCCTATCCCAGCCCCCGATGCAAATCCTGATGTCATCTGCCCCAGCCACCTATCTCTACCTCAACCCTGACTTCTCTGGTGAGAACTCTTTTGCGGATCCAGGGAGTGTCAAATGGCTCCTAGCCTGAGCCAAACCTCAACTGGGATTTCATTATCCTCTAATGTATTTTCTCCCCTCCCCTCCCACCACTGGAATCACACCCTCAGGAAAGCAGCCCCACTCTTATGATCCAGAAGGGTCCCATGGCCCTAAGAAGGGTTGTGGCTGCCATAGGTTGGCTTCCAGCCTCCCCCAGCTCTCCTTCTACATCCCTGTGTGGTTCATCCCACCCCAACCCCCTGCCTCTTGTCCTCCCCATAGTCCTGTGGCCCAAGCTTTTCAAGCTGGTGAAGGGAGACAGTTATGATCTGACATGTGCTAGACAGGTGATTCATCCTCTGTCACCAAATACCCTCATTATCCAGCCTGAAACTCCTCCATTCATTCCTCTCTATTCAGGCACATATTCATTAATTCATTCTATCATTTACCTAACATTCCTGAAGCGAAGCCAATCACCACTACCAACATCTTCCTAGAGACAAATAGACTAACTGGGGTTAGGTGAACTTTGAGAGTTCCAAAGGAAAGCTCCAGAGGACAGGGGAGTTAACAGGGGTCCAGTCCTCTCAGGGACCACAGAGCAGCTCTGCAGTAGAGACACGATTAGAGCCCATGGCTCTGGAGTCAGCCAGGCAGAGAGGGTACCAGCTTCTGGCTGCTGCTAAGAGTAGAGCTCTTCAAAAGTCATCCACTTAGTCAACATCTACTGAGTGCCAGGCAGTTGTCGTCACCTCTACAGCCATCATGGGAGAGATCAGAATCCTAGAGAAAGGGAATCTGAGCCCCCACCCCATGGGCTCGAAGCCCAGAGTGGAGGCCAGCAGTAGTGCCTCTCTCTGGTGAGTGTTACTGTGGGAAGACCACTGTTCCCAGCCTGGGTGCCCTGCTGGACTCCTGCTAGCCTAGCCTCAGCTAGGCAGGGTGTCACTTTGCCTCTCCAGAGACCCTTCTTGCCTACCTATTGCCCTTCTCAACCCTGTCCCTTCTTGCAGAAGCAAGCTTCTCAGCAGAAAATTCCATTCTGCCCCAAGGACTCTCCTCCTTACTGCCCCTCTCCCCGAGGGACCCAGGGACCAATCAATACCTGTAGACTGCCTTCTTCCCTCCTTCCAAACAGACGGTGGGCATTTTCCGATTTGAAGGTGAGGAGAGGAAACTAGTTATTTTCAGCTCTTCCTTTACTGGCAACATTGACCCATTTATCCTCCTCTTCCTTCAGACCCTTCCCCCAAGGCCGCTCAGCTTGGACATCTGTCCCAGCCAAAATCTCACCTTCTACTGTCCTTGCAGTCCAAAGGCTAGTCCAGCCTCTGGGTCCAGCTCTAGCCCTCTCTTCCCACACCAGGAAGGAAGCTGGACTGTAGAGTGTTCTGGGCCACCCCGTGTTAGCCGCTGCCTCTGGCCTCAGTTTCCCCTTCTGCGCCTCAGTTTCCCCACCTGCGGGATTAATGATGCCTGCTCTCTAGACCCAGAGGACGAAGCTCTAAGGAGGTCACATATGAGGAAGGGTCCAGAGCTCGGCGCAGGCTCCGTGCGGAGCCCCTAGGCCCTGCGGCTCGCCCCTCCCTCTCCCTCTCCCCCCTCCTCTCCCCCTTCTACCTCTCCCCTGCCTCTCCTCCCGCCTCTCCACTCGCTCGGCTCCCTCTTTGGCTGACCTTCCCTTTCCCTCACGCCTCCCCACGCCCAGCCCGGGGCCCCGGCACCCTGTCCGCTGCGGCCTCGGAGTGGGGAGAAGCAGCCTGAACCCCCACCGCCCCCGCCACAGCGCGGGCGGTCAGTGCGTAGCCCGGCGCCCGCAGCCCGCAGCCCGGAGCCGGATCGCGGGCTTGGACCGAACCCGACCCGACCGCCGCCGCCCCCAGCCAGGTGAGGGCAGCTCAGGGGAGGCGGGGAGCCGAGGTTCCCCCTTTACTGGAAGCGGGGGGCTGGAAAGGCGCGGGGAAATTGGGTCCTTTTTCCTTCAAAGGAGGACCTAGGAGCCTTTCCTGAAACAAGCACAAGGGCTTTCACTCCGAAGGGATGGATGGAGGGAAGGTCTGGGAGGGATTGGGGAACCCCTTTCTGGTTTCTGTTTTTTTTTTTTAAATAAGGATTCATTGGCTTCTGTGAAAGTGGGATTTCTTGGAAGGCTGAGGGGCTTTCAAGGTAGGTTGGGGAGGGTGCTCTGGCAGGGCTTGAGGGAAGGGTTAACTGGTGAGTGGTGGGGCAGTGGGGGTGGGGCAACGGGGGCGCGTGGGGAAGCTCTGCGATCCCCTCAACCTGACATCCTGACATCGTTGCACCTCCCGCCTTGGCTCCGGGGCTCCGGGTCTGTCCAGCTCTGTGTCCTAGTTTTTCTCTTTGAAGATGACTATTTTGAGCCCCACCTGGACAGAGCCAGGAACAGCTATTTCCTTCCCTGGAGCTGTGACACCCACCTGACACCCTCCCACCTCTGACCTGCTCAGGGAAGGGGGTTCAGGGAAGGACAAGGACCCAGGGATCTGGGAAATGGGCAGTGTGGGTGAAACGAAGGCTGGGTACTGGGTGCACAGGAAGACCCTTGGCACTGGTGGGGTACACCAACTTTGGCTGGGAGGTTGCTAGGCACAGGATGGTCAGCTGCTTCTGGGACATGACCCACTAGAAAAGCAGTGATGTCAGGAAAAGCTGAGCTGTTCCCCATGCTCCCAGAAGACAAAACACTAGAGAATGTGTTTGCTTGGTTGTTATTGTTTGGTTTTGCTTTCTTTCTGTCTCCCTCACCCTGGATCCCAAGATTCATTCCCCTGATCTCCTCTCCTAGTTTTTCAAAAAGGTAAATTGAGGCAAAGGACAAATTGGCTGGACATACCTGTGTCTAGGAAGGAAGAGTGCCAGAGAGGAAGGCATACTGAATTTGAATTAAAAAAACCTCAATTCAAGGCTTCTCTCAGTGCTCCATGGGTGACTTTGGGCCAAAATGCTTTCCCTTGTTGGGCCTCAGCTTTCTCATCTATAAAATGGGAGAGGGGCCACCTGTCTTGCAGGTTTGCAGAGACGATGTATCTAAAACAACTCCGTAAAAGGGAATGCACTGGACTCTTGTGAGGTGCCATCTTCACCACTGTGGATGGCCCCTTCCCTCCTCCCTGTCCTCACCAAGGGTATCACTACCCCATAGGACACCTTTGTGAGAATCAGAAAAAGCACCTCTTCTGGAAAGAGACAGCATTCAGCTGGGCTAGCAACTTGGGGTCTTTATTATGAGAATGAGAAGGCCGCACACTTTCCCCCAGGTGCTGCTCTAACATGTGGAGTGTGAGCTAGATTCTAGTTAGGATGTTCTGCACATCCACACCTGGCAACCCTTCTCAGCAGGGCCCTGCTGTCTCTAAGAGACGCAGAGCTATACATATTTCCAGGGTATTTTCTACAGAAGCCCACATCCCAGGCTGTCTCCAGCTCATTTCTTTCCTGTTTTGTTCAAGCCCCAAAGCACAGGCCCTAGTAGGAAGCAGATGGAATTCCACCATCAGAGAGGACTCCTCTGAGTTAAGCAGTGCCTTCACCCAGCTCTCAGGGGTAGGAGTGACTGAGTCGCTAAAAACCCTTATATCAAGAACTGGACCAGATCACTTTTCTCAGGGCAACCAACAGAAGCATCAGCACACCTCAGCACTGCTGTTGACCAACCAAGTTCACACCTATCTCAGAGCACCCCCACAGCAAGCCTGTGTGTGATGTCTCCTCCCCATTTACACAGAGGAAGCCATGCCCAGACGTTAGGGAACCTGACCAAAGTTTCACAGTGTCAGTGGTAGAGCCAGGACCCAAGCCCAGATCTGGCTGTCTGTCCTCTCTAATCCAACACTCTCAAGGAACAAAGCTGCTGACTTCACTGCTTTGCCAAAGCCCTGCTGGAATTGTTGCTCTCCCTCTCCATCCCCAGTAGCCCCTTGCTCACCACTCCTTCCTGAGTAACCAGCCTCCAAGCGCAGAGAAAGGAGTCACCTTCTCTTTTACTCTGACTTCACAAGGCGGGGGAGGAAGCTACCTCAAAGCCCAACTGTTCTGGCCTCCTCTATGCAGGAAGGGCCCCTGGTGAGGCCAGAAAAGGGGTCAGGGAACAGCGATTTCCTTTCCTGCTCAGATGGGGTTTAAACAGTAACTGTCATGCAGAGCGTCTACCCAGAGAGTCTGTGCCTGCGTGAGTGGCAGACCAAGGACCATAAAATAACCACAGGAAAATGCAGCCAACTGGAGCTGAAGGGAACTTAGAGACCCCCATGAACCGTCCAGGTTACCAGGGCCCTTGGGTGTCAAATGGGGGGCGTAGGGGTGAGCCCAGCAGACAGGGCTGTAGGCCTTTTCAACCAGACTGTTTCTGCTGGTCTGTGGTATGTGTGCAAGCTTTCACTTAAGAAAGGGATTTCATTTTGTGGGTATGCACACACCCACAGATGTTTGGAGACTCCTAGCCTAATTACTAGCTCTCAGCACGTGGTTGCTGGACCAGCCGCATCAGCATCACCCAGAAACGCAAATTCTGCTACTCAGGAGGCTGAGACAGGAGAATCACTTGAACCTGGGAGGAGGAGGTTGCAGTGGGCCGAGATCGCACCACTGCACTGCAGCCTGGGTGACAAGAGTGAGACTCGGTCTCAAAAACAAAACAAAAATAACAACAAAAAAAACACAAAGAGATGCAAATTCTCAGGCCCATCCCAGACCTACTGAATGAACTCTGGGGATGGGGGCCAACTACATATGTTTGAATAAGCCCTCCAGGTGACAGTCAGGCTTGCTAGAGTTTGAGAAGCACTGAGCTAGTCCAAGGATGTAGGAAAATTGAGACCTACTTGTGAGTCAAGGGCAGGGCTGGGAAGAGAACCCTCTTCTCTCAGTGGAAAGCCAAGCGTTTGGGGGCGGCCCCTGCCGACCCTCCTCTCTCGCCCCTCCATCTCCCTCCCAGGCGCCATGCTGCCGCTACTGCTGGGTCTGCTGGGCCCGGTGGGCTGCTGGGCCTTGGGCCCGGCCCCTGGCCCGGGCTCCTCTGAGCTGCGCTCTGCCTTCTCCGCGGCACGCACCACCCCCTTGGAGGGCACGTCGGAGATGGCAGTGACCTTCGACAAGGTGTACGTGAACATCGGAGGCGACTTCGACGCGGCCACGGGCCAGTTCCGCTGCCGCGTGCCCGGCGCCTACTTCTTCTCCTTCACTGCTGGCAAAGCCCCGCACAAGAGCCTGTCGGTGATGCTGGTGCGGAACCGCGACGAGGTGCAGGCACTGGCCTTCGACGAGCAGCGGCGGCCCAGCGCGCGGCGCGCCGCCAGCCAGAGCGCCATGCTGCAGCTCGACTACGGCGACACGGTGTGGCTGCGACTACACGGTGCCCCGCAGTATGCGCTGGGCGCGCCAGGCGCCACCTTCAGCGGCTACCTGGTTTACGCCGACGCCGACGCCGACGCGCCTGCGCGCGGACCGCCCGCGCCCCCCGAGCCACGCTCGGCCTTCTCGGCGGCGCGCACGCACAGCTTGGTGGGCTCGGACGCGAGTCCCGGACCGCGGCACCAGCCGCTGGCCTTCGACACCGAGCTCGTCAATATCGGCGGCGACTTCGACGCGGCGGCTGGTGTGTTCCGTTGCCGACTGCCCGGCGCCTACTTCTTCTCCTTCACGCTGGGCAAGCTGCCGCGCAAGACCCTGTCGGTGAAGCTGATGAAGAACCGCGATGAGGTGCAGGCCATGATTTACGACGACGGCGCGTCGCGGCGCCGCGAGATGCAGAGTCAGAGCGTGATGCTGGCCCTGCGGCGTGGTGACGCCGTCTGGCTGCTCAGCCACGACCACGACGGCTACGGCGCCTACAGCAACCACGGCAAGTACATCACCTTCTCCGGCTTCCTGGTGTACCCCGACCTCGAATCCACCGGCCCACCAGGCCTCGGGGCCCGGGAGCTGCTGTGAGCCCCCGGCCGGAGAGGAGACCGACCGGGAGGGCCAGGGGGGTGCATGCCGAGCCCGGACCGCGGCCCGAACGCCCCGCGCGAGCGCGACGGCTGCTGGGCGCGCCTGAACTCGTGACAATAAAGAAGAAAGCGGGCCCGCGCAGCGCCCAGGCCCCTGCGCTGTCTTGACTACGATGCCTTTTCCGGGTACGGGCTGGCAGGCGCTGACTACCAGGGGCCCACAGGCCCGGGGAGCGGGGTGGAGGTTGGAGAGCAGGGTCCCCCCAGACCCTGGGAGGGCGAGAAGGTGGGAATTTGGTGAAACCACGTTCGTTTAGCCTGTTGGGGCCGCCCTTTCATATCCCTGCCTTGTCCAGCCCTGACTCCTCATTGACCGATGACCTCAACCTTAGTACCCGGCTGATGCCTTTCTGTGACAAGGGACAGTACCCCATTGCCCCACTAGGGGCATGGAATTCAGGGAAACAGTGCTTTCCTCCTTCCAGCAGGGTGTGGGAATGGGATGAGGAGTTGATACCTCCTTGTCCTGACTCTTGCCTTCCCGGGTTGGGGAGAGTGATTTGCCTAGAGCAGGGACAGCTTACTCCGACGTAGAATGACACAGGCTCTGGGAGGCCGAAACAGAACGTTTTATGAGAAGAGCAACACAGAATCAGGGCCGCACCTGCTCCAGCCCACCTCCGCTTGTCTCTCCTTGGTCTTCTCCCAGCCTTACTCTCTCCTCTGAGGTGTTCTTTCGACGCTTGCTGAGATACTGCCTCCCTCCACCTGCTTCCCTCCACTCCTCCAACAGACAGAACTCAAGAATAGAACTAATCTATTCTTCCAACCCAAATGGGAACTTGGAGGCTCAGGGACCCCAGATCTTTGGCTGTGCTTAAAAGGGGGTGCTCAGCACCTAGAGGATTCCTGTGAATTCCACAGGACCGTCACAGACTGCCAGGGTAGGAGTTGGAGAATCTGACCTGGCCTTACTTGGGACAGCTTCCTTTTCAGCATCTCTTGAACATACTTCTCAACCCTGACTCCTGATGTCCACACACACACACCCTGCCTGCCTGTCGTGCCCTTAGCTCTGTGCCTACTCCTTGAAACCCAAATCCTGGGTTCTTAGCCTCTCAAGATCCAAGAAACAAGTTCTGGTCAGGGTAAACAGAGAGGGGATGTCGCAAGCCAAGCCCAGAGATCTGAACACAGTGAAAAGAACCAGGTGCCAGACAGAAGCCCCTGCCCAAGATGGGTTTGCCTGGGGAGTTGAGGGGGAGAGGGGAGGGGGAAATGGCAGGTGAAAGAGCAAAAGGGGAGGGTCAGGGGAAGGGGTCAAGGATGGAGGCCCAGGGCCCCAGGGAAGGGGGCTGGTCCTGGGGGCAGAAACCCTTGCACAGGTCCCAGAGTGTTTCCTGTGCCAGGAGAGTGAAGACTTGGGCCCAGTGGCCCCGTTCCTCAGCCTCACTAGCTGCATGGAGCCGGTAGATGCAGGACAGGGTGGTGAGGAGCAGATGTTCAAAGTCCCAAGTGCTAAGAGGAGGCCCCTTCCGCAGGTCCTGGAGCTGCTGTAGCCGCTGCTCAGTGCCCTCCAAGTCACTGGGCACGTGGTGCTGCAGGAGGAGCCTGAGTCGGCGGCCTGGGTGTGTGGAGGCTAGTTCCTCATCCTGGATGTGCAGCTGCCCCATGACATCCAGCTCTAGCCCAGCCCAGAGCAGCTGCAAGGGGAGCCATGTAAGGGGTAGGCTGTGGCCTGGGGAGCAGGGCAGGGAGCAAGAGTGGGCTGGGGGAGGGCGCAGAAGCAGGCAGTAGGACCCATGCTGGCTTACCCCCCCAACCCTAGCAGACCCACCCTGAGACATCCCCCTTCCCAACCCTGAGCTTAGGGACCTCTGGAAATGCCCACCCCCATGTCCCAGGCTGGGAGGAAAGACCTCAAACATCACTTCCGGGGCCTCTGGCTCCTGCAGGCCACCTCCCACGCTGGTGCTGTCCATGGGCTGCCCTGGGGCAGCAGAGAGGAGTCAGACCCCTGCCATGCTACACCGTGAACACCCAACCTCCCAGAAGTGCCCCTCTGCTGCCTGGTAGGGGTCCCGAGCAGTTCATCATGCTATAAAAGGGCAGGAATGCCATCCCATGCTCCCTTTTCCCCTCCCTCTCATGCACACACATGCACAATGACATTCACCCTCCCAAGCATAGGTCTTGCAATCTCAAAAGCATCATCCCAAGCCCAGTTACCATGTTGGCAAATGCCCAGGACTCCTCCTTTAACTTGCACAATGCCCTTGGTAAAGAGCTCCAGACCAATGGGTCACAAGACCCTTCCCCACCCTCCTCCCCTCCCTATAATCATCTGAGGACAGAGTCACCTAAAACAGTGCCAATGACTCTCCCAAGGACAAGGAACCTCTTTGGGAAGAGCCTGTTCTTTCCCTGTTCCTCCTCAGTGGTAGATCCTTGTGAGGCAGCGAGGACAGGGCAGGGGAGGATGCCTGTGGCAGCTCCCTCCAGCCCACACCTTGGGATGTTGCCTCACTCTTGCAATGTTTGTTCCAAGCCCAGGCAGGTCAAAAGACCCTGCTTTGGGCATCAGTGGGAATGAGCCCAGGGCCAGCATTAAGAGCACTTAGGGCTATCTCTGTACCTTTTCAGTTCTGGGGGTGGGGCCCACACTATCACCCACCACAGCACACATCAGCCTGATACCCACCATGCCCATACTTCCTATGCCCAACTAGCCTCAAATAGAGCCAATTGTTAACTGCTGTCAGCTGGCAGCCTTCCTTGGCTCCTCTCCACCCACCCTGAAGTCCTGGTACCTGCATGGTGCTGGGTTGTAGACACAACTGAGAGGAGACAAATGGCTACCACCAGGCAAGCGAGGAACTGCAGGGTCACAGCCATGCTTCACCACGTCCTCTGAGTCTCTCTCTGTTCAGCAGTTCTCTGCTCCCTCATCTGCCTGCCACACACCTCGGCTTCAACTTTCCACTGCAGGCTGCTCCAGAGCTCTGTAATGCGTGTCAGTCTTCAGTGCTCAACAGGGAGGGGCTGGCTGTGGCCTTGGTCACCTCCCAGGAGCTCTTTCCATTCTTTAGAAATGGGGAATCTGGTTGTTGGCAGGAGCCTGGCTCCCTGCTTGTCAGGCCCTCAGCTTGTTCCTGCCCAGATGGGCGGTATGCTTAGTTAATAGGAAAAAGGTGTTTGGTAGCAAATAGCTCTGGCTTGGCCCTCCCAAAGGGTAGGAAAGCCCAGGCAGTAGGACCATCTTACCGTCTTCACTCATAAAACATCCTGCAACTGAGGCCAGCCCCGACACCCAGTCTGGCCCAGCCCAGCCTCCAGGAGCCCCTCAGCTGCCAAAAGCATCAGCTGGTCTTCCAACTGCATGGCGGGCTGGCTGGGCGGCCCTACACACAGGCAGAGCCAAGCACTCCCCTCTCAGGCACTGTGCTACAGGCTGAACAGATCCAATCAGCTGGGCTAGGGAATACTATCCCCTGGCAGACAGACAAATCTGCAGATCCTGAGTGGTTTTTGCCCCACTGTCAAACCTCGTTTCCTTAATTCAGGACGAGCACAGTGGCTCATGCCTGTAATTCTAGCACTTTAGAAGACCAAGACAGGAGGATGGCTGAGCCCAGTTCAAGCCCAGTCTGGGTAACATGGTGAGATCTCATCTCTACAAATAAAAAAATTAACTGGGTGTGGTGGTAGACACCTATGGTCCCAGTTACTCAGGAGGCTGAGGTGGGAGGGAGGATCACCTGAGCCCAGGCAGTCTAGACTGCAGTAAGCTCTAATCACACTGCTGTACTCACTCTAACCTGCGTGACAGAGCAAGACCTTGTCTCAGAAAAACTCCACCAATCTCACTCAGCTCAGGCCAAAAACCAGGAAGATTCCTATAGCCCAAGAGTGATGGGCTACCATGCCACACCCATCCTGAGCCCTGTGGACTATGAGAACTTTTGATTACAGCTCCAGAATCCCTCTCAGAAATCCATGTGGTCAGGCATGGTGGCTCCTGCCTATAATCCCACCACTTTGGGAGGCTGATGTTGGTGAATCATTTGAGGCCAGTTCGAGACCAGCCTGGGCAACATGGTGAAACACCATCTCTGCAAAAAATACAAAAATTAGCTGAGTGTGGTAGCACGAATCTGTAATCTCAGCTTCTCAGGAGGCTGAGGTGGGAGAATCACTTGAGCCTGGGAGGTGGAGGTTGCAGTGAGCCGAGACAGCACCACCGCACTCCAGTCTGGGTGACAGCGAGACTCCACCTCAAAACAACATAAAAGACTCCCTGGTTTAGTAGTGTCTCTCTAAGGGAGCAGGGAGACACCCCTGCTTGCCTGTGTCCTCTATCGAAGTATCACTTCTCCCCATTACACAAACACACGAAGTGGTGAGTTTAAGTAGGAATTTATTTACATGGACACTCAATTATAGATAAGGGGCTTTCTAGGATGCACACGCCTTCCTTGGAGCTACTTGGCTTCAGGCTTCTTCTCTCCCGCTTCAAGCTTGAGACTCTCTGGGGGTTGGCGATAGATTGGGAAAGCCTCCCAGGGGCTGTTCAGGTCAAATTTTCGGAACTCTTGGGCCAACTCCACTGGCTCTGCCACCACTCGCTTCACCTCATCGTCATAGCGTAACTGCAGGAACAAAAGGAAGGCTTGAGCACTGAGGAAGTCCTTAACGTAGCTACAAAGGAACCTACTTTCACAAGGCTGTGGGTTATTTCCCCAGCCCAGTTAGTCTCCGTCACTGACTCCTGTTCCAGCCTGTCAGTACGTCTCCATCCACACCTGTTACCCATCAGATCACATTCCAACCAGCTACAGCGTGTGATTCCAAAATGTGGGATACCTCTCATGCCCTGCCCACCACTCCCACATCATGAGCTCTGAACTGACTCCACTCACCCACCCAAACACTCTTCTAAAGGGTAATGATAAGCATTTGCCCAGGATTAGGGAGTAGTCGGTGACTGAAAAGAATAAACCTAAACTGGCAGTTACACAACCTCAGGCCCTGTGCCCTTGGCATATTCACTGTCCAGATCTAAAACAGTACATTTGACATAGCTTTTCTTGTTACTGGAGGGTCAAATGGATAAGGTAAGGATCATCATGTGCTAGAGCGAAGAGGCAAACCAGGTGAGGCAGATAAGACAGGAGTGGGGTGAAAGGGAGAAGCAAGGGAGACAGCCCTGCCCAGAAGTAGCCCAAGAGGAAACTGGGCGCATGCAAAGCACTATCACAGCAGGAGTGCGTGGAGACTAAAGGAGCAGGGCTGGACACCACATGTCTCAGCCTTTCTTTTTTTTTGTAGCCAAAAATCCAAGTCTAATGTCTCAGCGTTTCTAAACAGTTACTTTGCTATAAAATTCACAAGTGATAATATAACACATTATCTTCCTGCAAATAAACAATCTGTAGCACCACTGAAATTCTTTATTCACATGTTTCTGGTCCCACTTCAGAGATAATTTTTGAGGGCTAAACATTTGGTGTCTTCCCTGTCACTACTTTCCCAGAGGCTCAAGGCAGGATAAATAATCCTCTACTTTCATGTTTTAGGGACAGACTGTGTCCTCAAGTTTGCCTTGATCATTAAAATGATTATTACCATAATGGATAACATTGGCCAGGGGCGGTAACTAACGCCTTTAGTAACTAATCTGCCCAAGGAGGGCAGATGGCTTGAGCTCAGGAATTTGAGACCAGTCTGGGCAACATGGAGAAACCTCATCTCTACAAAAAATATAAAAATCTGCCAGGCGTGGTGGTGCATGCCTGTAGTCCCAGACACTCAGAGGGCTTAGAGGTGGGAAGTAGACTGCAGTGAGCTGTGATCGCACCACTGCCCTCCAGCCTGGATGACAGAGTGAGACCCTGACACACACACACACACAGCATCAATTGAGCCTTTACAATACACCAGCCTTCATACATACATCATTTATTTATTCAGAGATAGGTTCTCACTCTGTCACCCAGGCTGGAGAGCAGTGGCATGATATCAGCTCACTGCAACCTCCACCTCCTGGGCTCAAGTGATCCTCCCACCTCAGCCTCTTAAGCAGTTGGGAACCACAGGTATACACCACCATGCCCTGTTAGTTTTTCTATTTTTTTGCAGAGATGAGGTTTCGCCATGTTGTCCAGGGTGTTCTCAAACTCCTGGGCTTAAGCACTCCTCCTGTCTTGGCCTCCCAAAGTGCTGGGATTACAGGAATAAGCCTATATACATTATTTAATACTTGCCACAAATATGTTAGTTAAGTGCTATTATTATTGCCATTTCAAGATGAGAAAGCTGGCCAGATGCAGTGGCTCACTCTTATAATCCCAGCACACTGGGAGACGGAGGCAGGTGGATCACAAGGTCAAGAGTTTGAGACCAGCCTGGCCAATATGGTGAAACCCGGACTCTACTAAAAACACAAAAATTTGCCAGGCATGGTGGTGGGCACCTGTAGTCCCACTTACTCAGGAGGCTGAGGTAGGAAGATTGCTTGAACCCAGGAGGCGGAGGTTGCAGTGAGCTGAGATTGCACCACTGCACTCCAGTCCAGGCGACAGAGTGAGACTCTGTCTCAAAAAAAGAAAAAGAAAAAACAAGATGAGAAAGCTGAGTCACAGTCAAACCAAGCAACTTGCCCCAGGTTACAAAAATGAATCTAGGATCTGAATCCAGGGCCCATGCTCTTAAACCACCACAACCCACATACCGTATTTCCTGCCATCCCCAGGGATCCCCTGGGTTCCCTGCAAGTCCTTCCCTGAGGCTGCTGTCCACCCCAGTTCCAAGGCTCCTACCTCAACATAGCCAGATAGAGGGAAGTCTTTCCGGAAAGGATGTCCCTCGAAGCCATAATCTGTCAGGATCCTTCTTAGATCAGGGTGGTTAACAAAGAAGACGCCAAACATGTCCCAGACCTAGGAAAGAGAAGCCCTCAGGCAGCCAATCCATCAAGACTAACAACAGGGTAAGGGGGCTACACTGCATTCCAGTCTCAACCAGTTTTGCAACTCTGGCCCAGAGGCAGGTCCACCATGTGCAGTAACTCACCTCCCTCTCATACCAGTTGGCTGCCTTGAACACAGAGGTAAGGGACTCAATGGGCGTCAGCTCATCTGTGTAGGTCTTCACACGGATCCGTGAGTTAAAGCGCAGAGACAACAGGTTGTAGACAATCTAGGGAGAGCAGAAGAATCTGGAGGGCTGAGATGGGAGTCCCTGGTTTGGAGAGTTCTGCCCTGTGACCCTAACTTCTACTCTGAACCTCAAAGCTCAAGATCTCCCTGTGCTTACAACTACTTCCAAAGTAGTTCCAAAGCTGTAGCTTAGCGTGTCAGCATGCCTGTGTTTCCTCATGCTATTCCGTTTGTCCAGAATATTTCCCTGGTCCACCTCACACCAACCCTCACCAAGGCTAATTCCTGGCCGCCTGCTCATGTGTCAAGATTCAGCACAAACTCTCTCTCCAAAGAAGCATCCCAGTCAGGGCCAACTGCCCCTTCTGTTTTTTTTTTTTTTTTGGTCTTCTTTGGGTGTTGCCCAACTTCCTGTTGATTTGCAGCTTTCTTAAAGCAACCCTCTAATATCCTATGTACTAGATGTTACTACAGTAAGCTGTTTGGATGTCTTTCTCCTTCACTAGAGTGTGGGGAACTCCTGAAGGACAAATACTTAGTGTCACTTCTCTCTCCATCCCAGGGTCTGGCAAACAGTAGATAATCAGTAACATATTAATAGCTGTATGTATTGAGAACTTACTGTGTGCTAGCAAGTTACTTGAACTATCTCATTTAATCCTTACAACCATTCTATAAGATAGGGGCAGCTTTATATTTATTTTCCAGGTAAGAAAACTAAAGCTCATAAAGATTAAACAAAGGCTGGGAGCAGTGGCTCACGCCTGTAATTCCAGCACTTTGGGGAGGCCAAGGTGAGCAGCTCACAAGATCAGGAGACCATCCCAGTCAACATGGTAAAACCCTGTCTCTACTAAAAAAAAAGACAAAAAATTAGCCAGGCATGGTGGTGTGTGCCTATAGTCCCAGCTACTTGGGAGGCTATGCCAGGGGAATCTCTTGAACTGGGAGGCGGAGGTTGCACTCAGCCAACATGGCACCACTGCACTCTAGCCTGGTGACAGAGCACCCCCAAACCTTCTCAGATCGATCGACTGACCTCAAAACGGTTCTGTCGAGTTGGGATGTCCACTGCTGTCAAGTCAGCCAGGGATTTGAACTGTGCATTGGTGTGATCCTTGAGGAAAGTCAGCACTGGGATGATGCCATCAGGATGGATACAGATCTCTAATTCATCGAATAAGGACACCTGCAAACATGGAAGGGAGGGGAGAGGGAACAAAGAGCTACTGACAAAACAGCTAACTTCAGCTGGAGTCACCTGGTTTAATGCTGAAAGAAAAGTACCAGCTTGGGATGGAGGAGTCTGTAGTGTCTTTGACACTAATTTGCCCACTCCCACATGCCCTGAGGATATGGTTCTTTCTTGGCCCAGACCCAAATAACAGTAAGGATTACCTGAACTTGCTGGACATACTTGGGCAGGATTTCAGCCACATACTCTCCAAAAGCTGAGAGCTGCTTGTGGGCCGCATCATTCCGTGGTCTGACAGTGGCTGGAAGGAAAAGGGATATTTAACAAAGAAATAGAGAAGGCAAAAGCTAGCCCTGCATCCAGTTTCTTGGGCTTGTAAGAGATGTCAAATCAGGAAAGGCTCTCTGTGGCACCCTGATAAAGATGCATGTGAAAGATTTCCCTTCCAGGGAATAGAGATGAAAACTTGGAGAAAATGCCACCTTAACTACACAGTCCTCAGAAAGACTCTTATTACAGCAGCTGGGGCATTTGCCTCTTCTCAAAATTATTCCATGGTTCATCCTTCACAACGCCTGCATTTCTGCTAAAGTAGCAGTCTCTGTTCTCCAATCAGACTAAGAGCTCTTTGATGATGGGAACCAAACTTTTGCTTCTCTCTATCTCCTTAGCACTTAAGTTTATACCAGTTGCTCAAGAACTTTAGGGCTTGAAGGGCCCTCACACACTGTCTCCTTGAAACCTTTTTTTTAGGGGGCAGGGGCGGGTATCAGTGAGAAAACTGAGTCCAAGAAAAGGGAAATGCCAGGTCTCCTAATTCGCAGTCTGGTATTTTGACTGTAATGTGGTATATCCATACTCATACAACCCTAAACCACTGAGCAATCACACATCACAAGCTACGGAATAATGTTTAGGTGTTCTCTGCCTTTGGCAGCAGGCAGGCCTGCTTTGTCATTCACTAGGTCTGTGACCCTAGGCAGTTTAATTCTTTGGACTTCTAATCTATAGTAAGAAGAGTAAGATACTCTCTACCCCATAAGGCTGTTGTGAGGACAAAATAAGATCTCACTAAAACGCTTAACGAGGTGCCAGGCACACATTAAGCCCTCAACGTGAGGTACTGTTATTACAGAGCTCTGAGGCCTAAAGGTTTCATTGCTAGCTTTCAAAGAGCTGACAGTTTAATCAGACAAAAAGGCGATCATTGAAACGGACAAGTGACAATCAGGGCCATAACAGAGAGCCCTAAGGGCACAGGGAGGGCTCAAATTTTTTTTTTTTTTTGAGATAGAGTTTCGCTCTTGTTACCCAGACTGGAGTGCAATGGCACAATCTCGGCTCACTGCAACCTCCGCCTCCTGGGTTCAAGCAATTCTCCTGCCTCAGCCTCCCGAATAGCTGGGACTACAGGCGCGCACCACTATGCCCAGCTAATTTTTGTATTTTTAGTAGAGACGGGGTTTCACCTTGTTGACCAGGATGGTCTCGATCTCTTGACATCGTGATCCACCCGCCTCGGCCTCCTAAAGTGCTAGGATTATAGGCGTGAGCCACCGCGCCCAGCCGAGGGCTCGATTTCTAATGCAGAGAGAAGACCACTGCAGTTAGGTCTCCCAAGATTTGCCAGGAGGACGCAGGGAAGGGCATCCTAGGGCAAGGACAGGCATCTAGAGCCCCCCGCCAGTAGTTCAAAGAAGAGCGCTGCCCGCACATACTCACGGCGCGTGTCGGCCCCGGCACTCTCACGCCTCACCGGCAGCAGAACCAAGGGTCGCCCAGCCCCTGCACAGGGAGATTAAAAGGCACAAAAGCACGGGGTGAGGCCTAAGGAGCTCTCTCCGCTGGGCGCGCCGCTGCTCCTGACCCTGGTCTCAGCTGGCTGCCCCTGCTCACCTCTGGTCAGCGCCGCGGCCCCCACGATCCCGCGCCACCAAAATCTGGTTGCCAACGTCGCCATGTTCCCCGGACACAAGGCAGCGGAAGACAAGACCGCAGGACACGAAGCCGCAAGGGCACGGACCGGAAGCGGAAATGTGCAGCAGATCTTCTTCCGGGCGGACGTGGAGCCGGAAGCAGAGGTTCCGGGATCCGGGATGAAAGGAGGGAACGCAGGTGAGAAAGCGAGACAGGCAGGTAGGGGAACCGTGGGGTGAGCGTAGTCCTAGCTCCGTGTGGCAGAGCCTGGAGAGAAGGCGAGGATGCTGAAGAACCAGACGGGTGAGAGGATGGGAGGGGCCGGGCTTTCTAAGTTCTACGCTCCACACTCCTCCCCCGGTCTCTGAGCCAAGCTTTTGACGAGGGCTGGCGGGCCTGAGCAGTAAGAACGGTTTCCCTGGCGACCGTTTCCCAGGCGACTTTAGGTGGAGCGGGGACAACTGGGCGATGGGCCTCCTAGTGCCCCGGCCTGGGGGCGGCTGGACTCTGGAGTTCTGGGACGCAGCCACAGGGAGTCATTCGAGCGAGCAGGAAAGTGTAGGGGAAGCAGCCCAGAAGAGAGCAAATGTGAGACCGACGGATATCCCAGATTAGGCCTCATATTGGAGCGTCTGAACTCCATGCGCGGGGCAAGAGAGGACCTGGCCACTAAGCCGGGGCAGGGAGTCCTTTTTGTCTGATTCTACTGACCCTGAGCTTCACCAGTTCTATGCCCCAGTTATTTGGTTAGGCTTTTACGTTCACAGACCTTCCCCAGCCCTTTGCTGTCATATATTGACCTAAATCCCAAGTCCTTTGTTAACATCACGGAAAGGAATTATTCCGTGTTTTTTCAGGAAAACACCCAGAGTTGGAACTTTGATTTATTTCGTTAGCGGAGGGACACCACTGGAGAGAATGAACCCAGCTCTGGTTAAAGGATAGCATCAGGGACATCATGGGCAGGGCCAGGACTAAGGGCAATCTGGACCCACTTTGTTCTTACTTTTTCCTTTTCCCTTACTGAGTTGGCCAGTTGGATTCACAGACTATGGCTGTGAATTCCTCAAGTTACTCAAGGTGGTGTTGCTTTGCAGACAGCTGGCAGAGAGAGAAATTGGCTAGCATGGAATCACCAGAGGAGCCTGGAGCATCCATGGATGAAAACTACTTTGTGAACTACACGTTCAAAGATCGGTCACACTCAGGCCGTGTGGCTCAAGGCATCATGAAACTATGTCTAGAGGAGGAGCTCTTTGCTGATGTCACCATTTCGGTGGAAGGTCGGGAGTTTCAGCTCCATCGGCTGGTCCTCTCAGCTCAGAGCTGCTTCTTTCGATCTATGTTCACTTCCAACCTGAAGGAGGCCCACAACCGAGTGATTGTGCTGCAGGATGTCAGCGAGTCTGTTTTCCAGCTCCTGGTTGATTATATCTACCATGGGACTGTGAAACTTCGAGCTGAAGAGTTACAGGAAATTTATGAGGTGTCAGACATGTATCAGCTGACATCTCTTTTTGAGGAATGCTCTCGGTTTTTGGCCCGCACAGTGCAAGTGGGAAACTGCCTTCAGGTGATGTGGCTGGCAGATCGGCACAGTGATCCTGAGCTCTATACTGCTGCCAAACACTGTGCCAAGACCCACCTGGCCCAGCTGCAGAATACAGAGGAATTTCTCCACTTGCCCCACCACCTACTTACAGATATCATCTCGGGTAAGTTTAGGGAAGGGACACATCATACCCAGTCACTTGGCTATGATGTTTAGTGAATGTTCTAGTCTAGGAGAAAGAAACCATCAAACTTCCTGGTGTTAGTTTACATTATTATTCCTACATTCTTACTGAGATAACTTGCCCAGAGAGATTGAGTTGGGATTCACTGTAATTGATGTCAGAGACAGTGTTAGAGGAAGAAGCCAGGAAACTGAAAGCACAACACTTGACCACACACAAAGTAGTGAGGAGTAATTTGTATTATACTCTACTTACTCCTGTACTTTGCATGTCCCTCTGGGTCCACTTACCTATGTAAATTGGTGATGAGGCAAAATATCTAAGACTAAAAACTTTTTTTTTTTTTTTTTGAGGCAGAGTTCAGCTCTTGTTGCCCAGGTTGGAGTGCACTGGCGTGATCTCAGCTCACTGCAACCCCCACCTCCTGGGTTCAAGCAATTCTCCTGCCTCAACCTCCCAAGTAGCTGGGATTACAGGCATGTGCCACCACATCTGGCTAGTTTTGTATTTTTAGTAGAGACAGGGTTTTTCCATGTTGGTCAGGCTGGTCCCAAACTCCAGACCTCAAGTGCCAAGAACCCACCTCGGCTTCCAAGTGTTGGGATTATAGGCATGAGCCCACTGAGCCCGGCCTAAAAACTTTTTTAGTGATGGGCTAAAAATAGGAAATAATCCTGATCCAGCAAGTGAGATACAACCATATTTAAGGTGTGAGCTCAGCCAGGCGTGGGCAATCACTTGAACCCGGAGACAGCGGTTGTAGTGAGCCCAGACTGCCCCACTGCACTCCAGCCTGGGCAACAGAACAAGACTCTGTCTCAAAAAAAAAAAAATAAAAGTGGTCAGGCGCAGTGGCTCATGCCTATAATCCCAGCAATTTGGGAGGCTGAGGGGGGCAGATCACCTGAGATTGGGAGTTCAAGACCACCCTGACCAACATGGTGAAACCTGCCAATACTAAAAATACAAAAAAATTAGCTGGGCATGATGGTGCATGCCTGGAATCCCAGATACTCAGCAGGCTGAGGCAGGAGAATTGCTTGAACCTGGGAGGTGGAGGTTGCAGTGAGCCGAGATCGCGCCATTGCAATCCAGCCTGGGCGACAGAGTGAAACTCCATCTCCAAAAAAAAAAAAAAAAAAAGAAAAGTGTGAGGTCTACAGCCTGCTAGGTTGCTTCCATGGCAGATGGGAGCATATCAAGCCATCTATTTTGATTTTAAAAAACAGGGTACATACTCTGGTTTCTCTTCAGATTGTATAAATCTTTTTTTTTTTTTTTGAGACGGAGTTTCGCTCTTGTTACCCAGGCTGGAGTGCAATGGCACGATCTCGGCTCACTGCAACCTCCGCCTCCTGGGTTCAGGCAATTCTCCTGCCTCGGCTTCCTGAGTAGCTGGGATTACAGGCATGCGCCACCATGCCCAGCTAATTTTTTGTATTTTTAGTAGAGACGGGGTTTCACCATTTTGACCAGGATGGTCTCAATCTCTTGACCTTGTGATCCACCCGCCTCAGCCTCCCAAAGTGCTGGGATTACAGGCTTGAACCACCGCGCCCAGCCAGATTGTATAAATCTTTTGCCTTTTACTAAAGATTTCCATGGAAAGGAACAGTTATGAGTCTTTACCCAATTTTTTGAGGCCTCATAAAACACCTGAGACAATCTTTAAAAAAAGGAAAGGCACACCAGGCATAGTGGCTCATGCCTGTAATCTCAGCACTTTGGAAGGCTAAGGAGGGAGGATCGCTTGATACCAGGAGTTTAAGATCAGCCTGGACAACATAGTGAGACCTTGTCTCTACAGAAAATAAGAAAATAGCCAGGCCTGGTGGCATGCACCTGTAGTCGCAGCTACTTGGGAGGCTGAAGCAAGATTGCTTGAGCCTGGGAGGTTGAGGCTATGATGACCATGATTGCACTCCTGCCTGAGTGACAGGGTGAGACCCTGCCTCAAAAAAAAAAAAAGGCAATTTTAGGCTAATTTCATGTATGTGTGTGTGTGTGTGTGTATATATATATATATATATGCATGCCCAGTGGTAGTCTAATAAAGTGGTTCACATCTTTAAAGTCCCTTACTCTGAATTCCTCTTTTGGATTGTCATTGACAATGCCTTTCCTCTGACTCACAGATGGCGTTCCATGTTCTCAGAACCCAACAGAGGCAATAGAAGCCTGGATCAACTTTAATAAAGAGGAAAGAGAGGCTTTTGCAGAGTCACTCAGGACAAGCTTGAAGGTAAGGCAAATATCTCAACTGTTATGACTGCATACTCTCTGTGGGTTCTGGCCATCAGTTAAACCTGGCCTTTTGGAGACAGATTCTTGATCTGTCACCCAGGCTGGAGTGCAGTGACATGATCTCAGCTCACTGCAACCTCCACCTCCCAGTTTCAGGCTATTCTCCTGCCTCAGCCTCCTGAATAACTGGGATTAGGTGCCACCACCACACCCAACTAATTTTTGTATTTTTAGTAGAGATGGGGTTTCACCATGATGGCCAGGCTGGTTTCAAATGCCTAACCTCAGGTGATCCACCAGCCTTTGCCTCCCAAAGTGCTGGGATTATAGTGTGAGCCACCACGCCTGACCTACCTGGCCTTATTTTTCTGATGAGATGGAGTTTCGCTTGTCACCTAGGCTAGAGTGCAGTGGTGCAGTCTTCGCTCACTGCAACCTCTACCTCCTGCGTTTAAGCGATTCTCCTGCCTCAGCCTCCTGAATAGCTGGGATTTCAGGCACCTACCACCACGCCCAGCTAATTTTTGTATTTTTAATAGAGACTATGTTTAATTTCACCATGTTAGCCAAGCTACTCTCGAACTCTGACCTCAGGTGATCCGCCCACTTAGGCTTCCCAAAGGGTTGGGATTACAGGTGTGAGCCAATGCACTTGGCCTAACCTGGCCTCTTTTTGATGGCTGTTATGAATGGTTGTCTCTATTTTTGTTTTGTGTTTTTTTTGTTGTTTTGTGTTTTTGAGATGGAGTCTTGTTCTGTTGCCCAGGCTGGAGTGCAATGGCACAATCTTGGTTCACTGCAACCTCCACCTCCTGGGTTGAAGCAATTCTCTTGTCTCAGCCTCCCAAGTAGATGAGACTACAGGTGCATGCCACCACGCCTGGCCAATTATTGTATTTTTAGTAGAGACCAGGGTTTCACCATATTGTTCAGGCTGGTCTTGAACTCATGACCTCAGGTGATCTGTCCATCTTGGCCTACCAAACTGCTGGGATTTACGGGGGTGAGCCACCGTGCCTAGCCATCTCTTTTTAAAATTTTTTATATTTATTTATTTTTTTAATAAGTCATCTCTGGCTTTAAGTTGGTATGAGCTGAGGGGGGAGGATGTCTTTGTAATCCCAGAACCACCAATCTATGAGCATCCAAAGTTCCTTGAGAACTACTTTCATCAAGTTTTTTTTTTTTTTTTGAGATGGAGTTTCGCTCTTGTTACCCAGGCTGGAGTGCAATGGCACGATGTCAGCTCACCGCAACCTCCGCCTCCTGGGTTCAGGCAGTTCTCCTGCCTCAGCCTCCTGAGTAGCTGGGACTACAGGCATGCACCACCATGCCCAGCTAATTTTTTGTATTTTTAGTAGAGACGGGGTTTCACTATGTTGACCAGGATGGTCTTGATCTCTTGACCTCGTGATCCACCCGCCTCGGCCTCCCAAAGTGCTGGGATTACAGGCATGAGCCACCGCGCCCGGCTACTTTCATCAAGTTAACAATCTTAATCACCCTTTGTCTGAAGCACTAGCTTATGAGAGTTTTTTAAAAGCTGCAAGGATGAATACAACAGATTCTCCTTCCCGGCATAAATTGCCTCAAAGAAAGTGACTAGAAGAGAGTCTGATGATATACAGTAATTAGAGAGTAGTATGTGAAAGCTAGATACAAGTGTGAGGGCCAGGATCTTAAGGATCAATGTCTTAGCTGAGCCTTAGCCTAGAACTTATAGCTGTCATGTAATTTTAATTTTGCCAATAGGAAATTGGGGAGAATGTGCACATTTACCTGATTGGGAAAGAGTCATCTCGTACTCACTCGTTGGCTGTGTCCTTGCACTGTGCAGAAGATGACTCCATCAGTGTAAGTGGCCAAAACAGCTTGTGCCACCAGATCACTGCGGCCTGCAAGCATGGTGGAGACTTGTATGTGGTGGGAGGGTCCATCCCAAGGCGCATGTGGAAGTGCAACAATGCCACCGTTGACTGGGAGTGGTGTGCACCTTTGCCTCGGGACCGGCTCCAGCACACCCTGGTGTCTGTGCCCGGGAAAGATGCCATATATTCACTGGGTGGCAAGACACTGCAAGATACTCTCTCCAATGCAGTCATTTATTATCGCGTAGGTGATAATGTGTGGACAGAGACAACCCAGCTAGAGGTGGCTGTGTCAGGGGCTGCTGGTGCCAACCTCAATGGGATCATCTACTTACTAGGGGGGGAGGAGAATGATCTGGACTTCTTTACCAAACCTTCCCGACTCATCCAGTGCTTTGACACAGAGACAGACAAATGCCATGTGAAGCCCTATGTGCTGCCCTTTGCAGGCCGCATGCACGCAGCTGTGCATAAGGATCTGGTGTTCATTGTGGCTGAAGGGGACTCCCTGGTGTGCTACAATCCCTTGCTAGACAGCTTCACCCGGCTTTGCCTTCCTGAGGCTTGGAGCTCTGCCCCATCCCTCTGGAAGATTGCTAGCTGTAATGGGAGCATCTATGTCTTCCGGGACCGATATAAAAAGGGGGATGCCAACACCTACAAGCTTGACCCTGCCACTTCAGCTGTAACTGTCACAAGAGGTATTAAGGTGCTGCTTACCAATTTACAGTTTGTGTTGGCCTAAGGCTGTGGGGAGGGGAGGAGAGCTGCTCACTCCTTTGCCCTCCCCATCCAAACTCAAAGTCCACTGGCCTCCAATTCAGAGTAATGTATTTTTTGGCACATATTAGAACGGCAGTGCCTCAGCCCTTCCCTGAACCCATAGAGGTGTGCTGTTTGGGGCTTTTTAGACTGCTGCTGCTCAGCTGGTTGACAGTAGGCCAGCCTGTTCTCTGCCATCCCCTGGTCATCTTCTGCCTCACTACAGCTTGCTTAGAGCAAGCCTCTTTTCAGACCTTAGGCACAGCCTCTTTTTACCTGATCAATGTTAAATATAAGCACCCCTGGTCCCAGGACATAAGGAAAGATGCCCAATTGTACTTTTGTTCTGTAGCCTGTGAAATGGCTAGTTGATCATTTTTCCACAAAGAATTAGGTGTTAGAGTTTTCCTTCAGACTTTGCTTTGGAGAATGGACTAAGCTGAAGGTGTACCTCACCAGCAAGAGTCAACTCTAGAATTCAGGATGTTCCTTCTATTGTTTTCTCATCCATCTGTCAGGAAATGTAACTTCCGTTTTATTTTTGGCTTATTTCAATGGGTAAGCCAGAAAGTAGAAATGATTATTTCTGGTTAATAGCAGAAACTTTTTTCAAGCTCAAATACATAAGGTGTCTGCTCTTTTAAAAGTCTAAGCTAAGTCAAGAGCTAGGAACTGTTCATACAAATAAAAGTTTTTGAAGGGATACATGTGTCTGTGTTGAATTCTGAAAGGGTAACTTTGAAGGGGTGAATTCTGAAAGGGTAACTTTGAAGGGGTGAGGGTGGTTCGTTCCCTCAGGGGGACTCACTTCATACCATCACGTGGCTCAGTCTACAGCAGTCCAGACTGCAGCCCATGCTTCCACTTCTCCATACAGAATCCCTACTCCAAAGGTGTGAGAGCAGCCCCACAGAACCCGTGAGACTCAGATTCTGACAGTGGCAAAGAGCCAGAGTTGAGTCTCTCCTTTCTTTTTTTCTAGTGCTAAATGTCTTTTGAGTTGTGGTGCTAAATATTATCAGGCACATAATAGATTTTTGTTGAAATACTTCTTCAGCCCTATTCAAGGAAAGAAGAGGCTGGGTGTGGTGGCTCATGCCTATAATCCCAGCACTTTGGGAGGCCGAGGTGGGTGGATCACCTGAGGTCGGGAGTTGAAGACCAGCCTGACCAACATGGAGAAACCACAGCTCTTATACTAAAAATACAAAAAAATTAGCAGGGCATGGTGGCTGGCGCATGCCTATAATCCCAGCTTCCTGGAGGCTGAGGCAGGAGAAATGCTCGAACCCAGGAGGCAGAGGTTGCAGTGAACCAAGATCATACCAGTGCACTCCAGCCTGGGCAATAAGAGTGAAACTGTCTCCAAAAGAAGAAAAGAAGATAGCCCCATCCCTATCCTGTATCCCATGAATATAAGCCACACTAAATCTTTTCCTTTCTAGCCGCACAACAATGTCATTTCAGGAAAATGAAATAAGACAGAGGAAGCAAAATTACCTGTTACCTATTGGTACATTTCTGTTATATCAAATCTGGGCTTAAGCCCAGTTGATCCTGTTAACTTTTTAATTATGTATCAAGCAGGATTGTCTTGAGTTCTTTCTAATCCATATACATCATGTCTTTGAACGTCAAAAGTCCCATCCTTTGCTGCCCCTGCAGTAATCTGCTTGTGGAACTCTTTAAGAACATCCAGTTGGCCACGCCTGATGTGGATGTGTGATCGGATCTTGGCGATGGCTCTTACAGCCTCCTCTGGACTCCACTTGTGCACCTGAAGTACAGGGTTGGGAAATCAGCAGAGAAAGAAAGAAGCAGGTGTCAAGGTGCCCTTGACCCATGAGCAGGTGCTAAAGGATTCCAAGAATTTCATTTATTTGGGAACTCCATTTTGGAGGCATTAAAAATCATGCTCCTTGTATTATAAATAGGAGAGCACTTTTAACCACTGAAATCAGCCAGTCTCACAATACTATGCAACAGGCCAGGGGGAAAGTCAGTGTTTCTACCCAATTCTTGTTCTGCCAAATGCAGGAAGAAGAAAGTTACATGTGGGAAACTGAGATCCTTAGTTCAAGACTGCCTGGGCCTACTCCATGTCCTCTCTGATCAGGGCTTTTGTTTACAGGAATTTCTAGGAAAAGTATGCAATAGATGTTTTTAGGCAACTTGTCACTATGGCTAGAAAAACAAGTACTTTTATAATTTAATTAGGAGGGTTAACCTGACCTAAAGATACTCATTGTTTATAACTCAAAAGAACCAAGAAAATACAGATTTCTAGCTTGCTAGATTCAATTCTCACTTGGTGCAAAATACCCTCATGAGACCCTGCTTCCAGCAGAGTCCTTATGGCCAAAATTTTAGTATTGTTAAACCATATACTCACTAGTCCACAGTAACACAAGGCCAGACCTAGCTATTCATATGACTTAGAAAATGCTCTGTGGGAACCAGACATTTTGTAACTCAGGTTACAAAAATGAGTCAAGCTGGGAGGATGCAAGATAAGAGGGAATCATGACGGACTACAGGGTATTTGTTTCTCCTAAATTTTTGTTTTTTGAGATGGAGTCTCACACTGTTGCCCAGGCTGGAGTGCAGGGGCACTGCCATCTCAGTTTACTCTAGCCTCCGCCTCCCGGGTTCCAGCGATTCTCCTGCTTCAGCCTCCCGGGTAGCTGGGATTACAGGTATGTGCCAGGAGACCCAGGTAATTTTTGTATTTTTAGTAAAGACAGGGTTTCACCATGTTGGCCAGGCTGTTCTCAAACTTCTGACCTCAGGTGATCCGCCCGCCTCAGCCTCCCAAAGTGCTGGAATTACAGGCGTGAGCCACTGTACCCAGCCCTTGCCTAAATATTTTTAAAGCATTCCACCTGCCAATCAGGGCAAATTAATAGGCACAATCTAGTTTGGAACTAGAAACTAGAATTTCTGGATATTTGTTTCCAGAAACTAATATCCAGAACTTTACTCTGGAATACTTGAAGAAACTTGAGTACTATAAAGCTGAAAATGCGTCAACACTATTATCTACAGTATTGTTTCCTGACATGATATTAGAATAAGTGTCTCTAGCCTTTTGCTGGGTTCAATATCTTTTGCAACTCCATTTTTAGAGTGCCTGCTGTAGGCCAGCACTTGATCTAATTTCGTCTTTAAACTTCATAACACATTTAGTTCGAGAAAACAGCGTAAGATAGAAGCCACTTTTGCTGATCCTAGCTGGCAGGTGGCAGAGGTTAGCCTGTGACAAAGCTCAGGTTCTTTCCATCATACCACATCACCTTCCAGCAGCCTGAAATCAAGCACATAGTTTCTTCCAACAAGGCCCACCAGTAAACCATGCTATTGAAGTTCTGGAAATCTGCTATAAATGGGAGCAGAAAGACCTTTTTATTTTTTGAGACAGGGTTTCACTCTGTCGGCCATGCTGGAGTGCAGTGACACAAATCACAGCTCACTGCAGCCTCTACCTACCAGGCTCAAGTGATCCTCCCATTTCAGCCTCCCAAGTAGCTGGGATTACAGATGCACGCCACCATGCCCAGCTAACTTTTTGTAGTTTTTGTAGAGACAGTTTTGCCTGTTGCCAGGCTGATCTCAAACTCCTGGGCCCAAGCCATCCTCCCACCTCAGCCTCCCAAAGTGCTAGGATTATAGGCAACTGCCATGATGCCTGGCCCAGAAAAAACTTTTGTACCTGAATCAGGTATGCTGCCACCATAGTGGCACTCCTGGAACGCCCAGCCTTACAATGCACGTAGACACACTGGCCCAGCGACTGGTACTTGAGAGCAAATTGGACTCCCTTCTGGAGGTTGGCCAAAGTGGGGATCCCAGTCATGTCTACTGTGCTGAGCCGCAGCTGCTCGACTCCAAGTCTCTTCCACTCCTGGAACCAGGTCCACCGGTATGAAAAACAACGAAGAAAAAAACTCATGTGGGTGGGATGATGAGGGGGCTACCAAGAGGCAGCAAAGCAATAAGGAAATTTCAGGGTTTACTACAATGCAAACATACGGTTTCCTGTTTTCTAAAAAAATAACTTCTTACAGAAATGCTTTTTTTCCCCATTCCAGGTGTGGACAGAAATGCCTTTAAAATGGCTGGCCTAAATGCCTGGTCTTTCATCAAACTACAGCTCTGCTGCTGAGTTAGAATTATGTCCAAGATTTAAAGTGTTCGTTTTTTTTAAAGACAGAGTCTCGCTCTAGTTCCAGGCTGGAATGCAGTTGCATGATCTTGGCTCAGTGCAGCCTCCGCCTCCCGGGTTCAACCAATTCTTCTGCCTCAGCCTCCAGAGTAGCTGGGACTATAAGGCACCAGCCACCAAACTTGGCTATTTTTTTTTTTTTTTTTTTTTTTTTGAGATGGAGTTTTGCTCTTGTTGCCCAGGCTGGAATGCAATGGTGCAATCCCAGCTCAGCACAACCTCTGCCTCCCAGGTTCAACGGATTCTCCTGCCTCAACCTCCCAAGTAGCTGAGATTACAGGCATGTGCCACCACACCCAGCTAATTTTGTATTTTTAGTAGATATGGGGTTTCTCCATGTTGGTCAGGCTGGTCTTGAACGCCTGACCTCGGGTCATCTGCCCGCCTCAGCCTCCCAAAGTGCTGTGATTACACGTGTGAGCCATCACATAGGCAGATAAAGTGTTCTTAAAGTACCCTTTGGGTACTTGAATCTTTCGCTGCAAAATATTAGCAATATATATTTTTGCTGCAAAAAATTCAGCTGCAAACGTCTAACATTTTATTTTGGCTGGGAGCAGTGGCTTATGCTTGTAATCCCAACAGTTTGCAAGGCCGAGGCAGGCAGATCACCTGAGGTCATGAGTTCAAGACCAGCCTGGCCAACATGGTGTAACCCCGTCTCTACTAATACAAAAATTATCCAGGCATGGTAGTGGATGCCTATAATCCCGTCTACTAGGGAGGCCGAGTCAGGAGAATTGTTGAACCCAGGAGGCAGAGGTTGCAGTGAGCAGAGATTGCACCATTGCAGTTCAGCCTGGGAGACAAAAGCAAAACTCCATCTCAAAACAACTTTTTTATTTTAGAGACATGATCTTGCTGTGTCACCCAGGTCAGAGTGCAGTGGTGTGCAATCATGGGTCCCTGCAGCCTCACACTCCTAAGCTCAAGCAGTCCTCCCACCTCAGTTTCCCGAGTATCTGTGACTATAGCTGCACGCCACTGTGCTGGGCTAATTTGGTTATTTTTTGGTGTGGAGATGGGGGTCTCACTATGTTGCCCAGGCTGGTCTCAAACTCCTGGCCTCAAGCCATCCTCCTGCCTCAGCCTCCCAAAGTGCTGGGATTACAAGCATGATCCACCATGCTCAGCCAGTGTAAATTTTTTTGCATAACTTTGGCACCTGTGTAGTGATTCAGCTGCAGGTTTAGGGTACAGTATTTTGCTAGGGCTTTCTATTTCTCTGTCTATAAGTTTCCTCTTTTTTTACCACAGTTTTTTTAGGGAGCACATGGTAGAAAATAGGGTTATCATTTTAAAATTAAAACAATGCACTGACCTTCATTAGTTCAATGTTATCATTTACAAAGAACTAGGGGCTGGGCGCGGCGGCTCACGCATGTAATCCCAGCACTTTGGGAGGCTGAGGCGGGTGGATCACGAGGTCAAGAGATCGAGACCATCCTGGTCAACGAGGTGAAACCCCCGTCTCTACTAAAAATACAAAAATTAGCTGGGCATGGTGGTATGCACCTGTAGTCCCAGCTACTCGGGAGGCTGAGGCAGGAGGATTGCTTAAACCCAGAAGGCGGAGGTTGCGGTGAGCCGAGATCGTGCCATTGCACTCCAGTCTGGGTAACAACAGCGAAACTCTGTCTCAAAAAAAGTAAATAAACCAAAGAAGAACTAGGTTGCCACGAATAGTGGCTCACACCTGTAATCCCAGCACTTTGGGAGGCAGAGGTGGATGGATCAACCAAGGCCAGCAGTTCGAGACCACCCTGGCCAACATGGCAAAATCTCGTCTCCACAAAAAAATACAAAAATTAGCCAGCCATGGTGGTGGGCATCTGTAATTCCAGCTACTCAGGAGGCTGAAGCAGGAGAATCACTTGAACCAGGAGGCAGAGGTTGCAGTGAGCTGAGATCACACCACTGCACTCTAGCTTGGGCAACAGAGCTAGATTCCATCTCGAAAATAAAAAAAGAAAGAAACAGGAGAAATAAGTTATCTGGCAACTGGGCAAACTTTATGCTTTAAGACTTCAGATATGCTCCAGCTACTCCTGTTATTAACCTCTTAACAAATATTGGAGGTTTTATGACTCTGAATGAAGGTCAGTATTTCTTTTCTTTTTTTTTTTTTTTTTTTTTAAGTTGGGGTTTTGCATTTGTTGCCCAGGCTGGAGTGCAATGGTGTGATCTTGGCTCACTGCAACCTCTGCCTCTCAGGTTCAAGCGATTCTCATGACTCAGCCTCCCGGGTAGCTGGGATTACAGGCATGCACCACCACACACGGCTAATTTTCTATTTTCAGTAGAGACGAGGTTTCTCCATGTTGGTCAGTTGGTCTCCAACTTCCAATCCCAGGTGATCCACCTGCCTCAGCCTCTCAAAGTGCTGGGATTACAGGTGTGAGCCACACCACTTTGCCTGGCCTCTTTTTTTTTTTTTTTTTTTTTTGAGAGGAGTCTCATTCTATTGCCCAGGCTGGAGTGCAGTGGGGCTATCTCAGCTAACAGCAACCTCTACTTCCCAGGTTCAAGTGATTCTCCTGCCTCAGCCTCCTGAGCAGCTGGGATTACAGATGTCTGCCACTATGCACAGCTAATTTTTTTTATTTTTTTATTTTTAGTAGAGACAGCATTTCACCATTTTGGCCAGGCTGATCTCAAACTCCTGACCTCAGGTGATCCACTCGCCTCAGCCTCCCACTCGCCTCAGCCTCTTACAAGAGTGAGAGCCACCACACCTGGCCAAGTCACAAATATATATATATAATTTATATATTATATATATATATATATTTTTACCCCCATCCCCCCCACAAATATTTTTAAGGTTTCAAAAAATCCACAGGTTGGCAGGGCACAGTGGCTCACAAGGTCAGCAGATTGAGACCATCCTGGCCAACATGGTGAAACTAAATACTAAAATACAAAAAAATTAGCTGGGCATGGTAGCACATGCCTGTAGTCCCAGTTACTCAGGAAGCTGAGGCAGGGGAATCGCTTGAACCCAGGTGGCGGAGGATGCAGTGAGCCGAGATCGTGCCACTGCCCTCCAGTCTGGGCAATGGAGCAAGACTCCATCTTAAAAAAAAAAAATCCACAGGTTGATGCTGGGCATGGTGGCTCATGCCTATAATCCCAGCACCTTGGTAGGTGAAGAAGTGCAGATCATGAGATCAGGAGACCAAGACCAGCCTGGCTAACAACATGGTGAAATTCCATCTCTACTAAAATACAATTAGCCAGGTATGTTGGCGGGTGCCTATAATCCCAGCTACTCAGGAGGCTGAGAATCGCTTGAACTAGGGAAGTAGAGGTTGCAGTAAGCTGAGATCACGCCACTGCACTCCAGCCTGGGCAACAGAGCCAGACTGTCTCCAAAAAAAGAAAAATCCACAGGATGAAATAATAGTATCTTCATCATGCTATATCAGTAAAACAAATGAGAAAGATAATTATTTACAGCAATTAGATGCCAAACAGTATAAAGATAGAGCAACATTAAAAAAAATAGCTCAGGTTGTAGATAACATTTTTCTTTTTTTTATTCTTTGAAAACTCGTTTTCTAGATAACATCTAATAACCATTGTGGAAGATTCCACAAACAAGCCATTCACATTTAATGACAATTACGTTTTAGGCCTAAACTTTTATGTTATGAGAGAACTTTGAAGTTCTACCATGACTTTTGTTTTTCATTCATTTATTTATTTATTTATTTTTGAGTTGGGGTTTTGCTCTTGTTGCCCAGGCTGGAGTACAATTGAGTGATCTCACTGCCACCTCCACCTCCCAGGTTCAAGCATTTCTGTTGCCTTGGCCTCCCGAGTAGCTGGGATTACAGGCATAGGCCACCACATCCAGCTAATTTTTGTATTTTGGTAGAGATGGGGTTTCTCCAAGTTGGTCAGGCTGGTCTCAAACTCCTGAGCTCAGGTGATCTGCCTGCCTCGGCCTTCAAAGAGCTGGGATTACAGGTTTGAGCCACAGTCCGGCCAATGATTTCTAACATGTGACTAAAAATTCCTCCAAATCAGAACCAAATTAACTCTTTACAGTTTTTCAATGGATGGTTTTCTGAAATATTTGGGGAGGGGGCCGTGTTAGGGGGGTGCTTTTCGTCTTAGAGTTGGCAGGGACTTCATCCGGAATGCCTAACAGTGGGAAATGCTGACTCAGCGCTTAAAGTGTAGAATGAATGAATTAAATCAGCAAGGCACAGAAAAGTTGCCTTTAAATTTTAGTTTCTGATTTGGTTACGAAAATAAGGATACATTTGTGCACAAAGGAGAAATCAGGCTTTGTCAACTTGCACTTTTTTTTTTTTTGATACATTGTTTCACTCCCGTAGCCCAAGGATGAGCTGGAGTGCAATGGGGCGATCTCAGCTCACTCCAACCTCCACCTCCCGGGCTCAAGTGATGCTCCTGCCTTAGCCTTCCAAGTAGCTGGGAGTACAAGCGCACGCCACCACGCCTGGCTAATTTTTGGATATTTGTAGAGACAGGGGCCTCGCCATGTTGCCCAGGCTGGTATGGATCTCTTGGGCTCAAGTGATCTGTCCACTTCTGCCTCCTGCTTCCCAAAGTGCTGGGATTACAGGCGTGAGTCACCGTGCCCGGCCTAACTTGTAGTTTTTTGTTTTTGTTTTTTTGAGACGGAGTTTCGCTGTTGTTACCCAGACTGGAGTGCAATGGCACGATCTCGGCTCACCGCAACCTCCGCCTTCTGGGTTCAAGCAATTCTCCTGCCTCAGCCTCCCAAGTAGCTGGGACTACAGGCACGCACCACCATGCCCAGCTAATTTTTGTATTTTTAGTAGAGACAGGGTTTCACCTCATTGACCAGGATGGTCTCGATCTCTTGACCTCGTGATCCACCCGCCTCGGCCTCCCAAAGTGCTGGGATTATAGGCGTGAGCCACCGCGCCCGGCCTTAACTTGTTTTAAATAAATGCTTTTCACGATTTCTAGACCACCTCCATGTGCCGTTTAGAGGACCAGATCGGAGGCAAAGAAGCCTGGGACACCTGGTTCTGGGGCATGGTCACCTGCAGGGCCACTCCTCCCCCAAACTTTTCCAGCCGTCTCAGACCCAGGGCGGTGGGCGAGGGGAGCGGGCCCCCGAGTCTGCCCCGCGGCCCGGGCCCTCACCTGTGAAGAGTTGCACAGGAACCTTGTCTCATACTCCTCGTTCATGGTGATCACCCCGCGCACGTTCTCGTCCTGTACCAGCTGCCGAGGCAAAGAGGTGGCTCAACATGGATGGTGCAGACCCCAGCGACCCGACAGGGACGGCGCCGCAGGGACGGGGCAGGGACCCGGGCTTCCCGGCGCGGCTCACCTGGCGCGTCATTTTCCGCAACGGCAGCGCCCCCAGCAGCACTGTGTGGTCAATGCGGTGGTACCAGTTCCTGTGCGCCCGACCTGGCACCTTTCCCCGGAACAGGGTGTAGAGCAGCGTCGGGTAAAAGAGCACCCGCGCCAGGCCGGCCTGTAGCAGCGCGGTGAACGCCATCCGTTCCCCACCCTGCCCGGCGCCGCGGCGACCCGTCGGCCCCCGCGCTCGCGGTCCGGACCCGCGAGAACAGCCGGCGGGCGCCGGGGCGGGGCTGCCAGCTGCACGAGGCCTCCCTTGGGCCCGCACCGGGTGGCTGCGGGGGCGGGCCGCCTGGCTCTGGAGGAGGGACCGGCGGCCTCGGGGGAGGGACCGAGGACTCCTGGGCGGGAAACTGGGTCCAGGGCCGAGGGAGAGCGCATCGCGGGCCAGACACGGGTGGGCACCATCGCGTGGGAAACAGGCCTCCGCCTGTGGTCGGTAACCTTCCCCCTGCGAGGGAGGGGGCTGTGACCCCAGGTGAGGAGGGCAGAAAGCACCCCCTGCGTGTGGAACTGTGACTCCGGCGGAGGGAGGTGGAACACTCCCCCAACCCTCGACCAGCGTGAGGGGGCAGTGACCCCAGGTGCGGGTGTGACCCCGCCAAACAGGAGACAAAGCAAGACGGTGTGTGGCGGGGTAGCCCTGAAGGGGAGAGTGAAAGGGTTTAAGAGCAACAGAGGAGACACTTGGGTGAGGGCTTGATCCCGGGGTGAACAGGGGACCTGGGTTGAGGTCGCCTTCCTCCTCCCTTCCCCTGTCTCAGGGCACGGCTCCTTTATTTGACCAAACAGCAGTGTTTACATAGTAGGAAAATATGTATAATATTATATCATTAAGAAAAAGATTATGGGCCGGGCGCGGTGGCTCAAGCCTGTAATCCCAGCACTTTGGGAGGCCGAGGCGGGTGGATCACGATGTCAAGAGATCGAGACCATCCTGGTCAACAATGGTGAAACACCGTCTCTACTAAAAATACAAAAAATTAGCTGGGCATGGTGGCGCGTGTCTGTAGTCCCAGCTACTCAGGAGGCTGAGGCAGGACAATGCTTGAACCCAGGAGGTGGGAGGTTGCGGTGAGCCGAGATCGCGCCATTGCACTCGAGCCTGGGTAACAAGAGCGAAACTCCATCTCAAAAAAAAAAAAAACAAAAAAAAGGAAAAGCTCAAACATAAAACCGGTAACCAACAAAGAGGTAAGAAGAATGGTTGTAATGCCAGCTATTTACTTTTTTTTTTTGAGATGGAGTCCTTCCGTTGCCCAGGCTGGAGTGCAGTGGTGGGATCTCAGCTTGCTGCAACCTCCTCCTCCCAGGTTCAAGAGATTCTCCTTCCTCAGCCTTCCAGGTAGCTGGGATTACAAGTGCGTGGCACCATGCCCGGCTAGTTTTTGTATTCTTAGTAGAGACAGGGTTTCACCATGTTGTCCATCCAGGCTGGTCTCAAACTCCTGACCTCAGGTGATCTGCCCGCCTAGGCCTCCCAAAGTGCTGAGATTACAGGTGTGAGCCACCACGCCCGGCCTTCTTTTTTTTTTTAATTTACTTTTTCTTTTGAGACAGGATTTCACTCCTGTTGGCCAGGCTGGGGTGCAGTGGTGTGATTTTAGCTCACTGCAACCTCCACCTCCCAGGCTCAAGTGATTCTTCAACCTCATCCTCCTAAGTAGCTGGGACCACAGGTGCACACCACCACAACCGGTGAAATTTTTATATTTTTGGTAGAGAGACGGGCTTTCACCTTATTGCCCAGGGTGGTCTCAAACTGCTGGACTCAAGCGGTCTGCCTGCCTCAGCCTTTTGAAATGCTGGCATTATAGGTGTGAGCCACCCCCTCCAGGCTTTTTTTTTTTCTTAATAGATATCTCTTATGTATTGATATCTGGCTTCCTTTGCTTAGAATGTTTTCAAGGTTTGTCCATGTCATAGCAAATATCAGGACTGTATTTCTTTTAATTGCCAAATAATATTTCAATGTATGGACAGACCACATGTTTTTTTCCATTTTTCAGTTGATGAACATTTGAGTTGTTTCCACTTTTGCTATTTTGAATAATGCTCTTGGGAACATTCGTATACAAGTTACGGACATAGGTTTTCATCTCTCTTGTATATTTGACTAATCATGGAATTGTTAAGTCATAGGTAATACTATGTTTAACATTTTGAAGAACTGTCAGTTTTCCAAAGTGACTGCACCTTTTTGCATTCTCACCAGGAGAGTATAGAGGGTTTCAATCTTGCCACATGCTCACTAATACTTACTATCTTTTTCATTATAACCATTTTAGGGGTGTGATGTCTGTGGAATAAACTTTTTAATGTGGAATAATTAGGCCAGGCACAGTGGCTCACACTTGTAATCCCAGCACTTTGGGAGGCCGAGGCAGGCAGATCACCTGAGGTTGGGAGTTTGAGACCAGCCTGGCCAACACGGTGAAACCCAGTTTCTACTCAAAATACAAAATTAGCAGGGTGTGATGGCGCATGCCTGTAGTCCCAGCTACTCAGGAGGCTGAGGCACGAGAATCTCTTGAACCCTGGAGGTGGAGGTTGCAGTGAGCCGAGATTGCACCATTGCACTCCAGCCTGGGCAGCAAGAGTGAAACTCTGTCTCAAAAAAAAGTGGAATAATTTAGATGCACAGAAAGGGTTTAAAGATAGTACAGACTCCATTATGTTAACATTTGTTTTAGTAAGAGCTTTATTGAGGTATAATGCATATGCCTTATAATTCACCCCTAACTGTACAATTCGGTGGTTATTGATATACTCACAGGGTTGTACAACCATCACCAATATCTAATTTTAGAGCAAAGAAATCATATACCCATTAGCAAATCACTCCTTATTCCCTCATTCCCTGACAACCACTAATCTACTTTTTGTCTCAGTGGATCTGCCTCTTCTAGACCTTTCATATACATGGATTCATACAATGTGTTCTTTGTATACTCACATACACATATTGATAAAAGTCATTATAACCGTATGGATAAAATTTTGATTATTTGTTTGTTTTGTGAGACAAGAGTCTCACTCTGTCACCCAGCCTAGAGTGCAGTGGCTCAATCTCGGTTCACTGCAACCTGCTACCAGGTTCAGGCAATTCTTATGCCTCAGCCTCACAAATAGCTGAGATTACAGGTATGCGCCACCACGCCCAGCAAATTTTTGTATCTTTAGTAGAGATGGGTTTTTACCATGTTGGCCAGGCTGGTCTCAAACTCCTGATCTCAAGTGATAGGCCTGACTCAGCCTCCCAAAGTGCTGGGATTATAAGGCATGAGGCACCACACCCAGCAAATTTTAAATCAAAATTTTTTTCACGGAATGGTGCTATAAGCATTTTTTATATTATTATTATTTTGAGACAAGGTCTCACTCTCTCACCCAGACTAAAATGCAGTGGCATGATCTCGGCTCACTGCAACATCCATCTCCCAGGCTCAAGTGAGTTACTCCCTGCCTCAGCCCCTGGAGTAATTGGGATTACAGGTGCTCACCACTACTGCCAGGCTAATTTTTGTATTTTTAGTAGAGACAAGGTTTCACCGTGTTGGCCAGGCTGGTCTCAAACTCCTGACCTCAGATGAACCACCCACCTTGGCCTCCCAAATTGCTGGGATTTACTTTTTCTGGCCAGCAATTTTTTTTTTTTTTTTCTGCCTGGCCAGCAATTTTTTTTCTTTTCAGATGGAGTTTCACTCTTGTTGCCCAGGCTGGGGTACAGTAGCATGATCTTAGCTCACTGAATTCTCCAAGATTCTCCTGCCTCAGCCTCCTGAGTAGCTGGGAGTATAGGCGCAGGCCACCATGCCTGGCTAATGTTTGTATTTTTAGTAGAGAGGGTTTCACCATGTTGGTCAGGCTGATCTCGAACTTCTGACCTCAATATCTGCCTGCCTCAGCCTGTCAAAATGCTGGGATTAGAGGTGTGAGCCAGTGCGCCCCACCAAGAAGAGATAGATTTTTTTTTTTAATCTCTTTTTTTTTTTTTTTTTTTTTGAGACTGAGTTTCACTGTTGTTACCCAGACTGGAGTGCAATGGCACGATCTCGGCTCGCCGCAACCTCTGCCTCCTGGGTTCAGGCAATTCTCCTGCCTCAGCCTCCTGAGTAGCTGGGATTACAGGCATGTGCCACCATGCCCAGCTAATTTTTGTATTTTTAGTAGAGATGGGGTTTCAGTATGTTGACCAGGATGGTCTTGATCTCTTGACCTCGTGATCCACCCGCCTCAGCCTCCCAAAGTACTGAGATTACAGGCTTGAGCCACCGCGCCTGGCCTATTCTTTATCACCTATCCATCAATCCATTCTTTTTTTTTTTTTTTGAGACGGAGTCTTGCTCTGTCACCCAGGCTGGAGTACAATGGTGCGCTTTTGGCTTACCACAACCTCTACCTCCCAGGTTCAAGCGATTCTCCTGCCTCAGCCTCCCAAGTAGCTAGGATTACTGGTATGCACCACCATGCCCAGCTACATTCCTTTTTTGTTTTTTTTTCTGAGACGGGTTCTTGCTTTGTTGCCCAGGCTGGAGCACAGTGGGACAATCACAGTTGTAGCCTTGATCTCCAAGCCTTCAGTAATCCTCCCACCCCAGCTTCCCAAATAGCTGGGACTATAAGCATCTGCCACCATGCCTTGCTAATGTTTTTGACTTTTTTATAGAGATGGAGTCCCACTGTGTTTCCCAGGCTGGTCTCAAACTCCTGCACTCAAGTAATCTTCCTGCCTCAGCCTCTCAACATGCTGGGATTACAGGTGTGAGCCACCATACCTGTACTTCTAATGAGTTTAAAATATACACATTTTACATATACATATATAAAATATACATTGTGTGTTAGTGTGTGTGTGTGTGTGTGTGTGTGTGTGTGTGTGTAGTTTCCCTGTCGCCCATGGTGGAGTGCAATGGTGTGATCTTGGCTCACTGCAACCTACACCTCCCAGGTTCAAGTGATACTCCTGCCTTAGCCTCTGGAGTAGCTGGGATTATAGGCATGCAGTACCATGCCTGGCTAATTTTTTTTATTTTTAGTAGACACAGTTTCTCCATGTTGGTTAGGCTGGTCTCGACCTCATCCACACACCTCGGCTTCCCAAAGTGCTGGAATTACAGGCTTGAGCCTCTGGAGTAGCTGGGATTATAGGCATGCAGTACCATGCCTGGCTAATTTTTTTTATTTTTAGTAGACACAGTTTCTCCATGTTGGTTAGGCTGGTCTCGACCTCATCCACACACCTCGGCTTCCCAAAGTGCTGGAATTACAG